CTGACTCCGATGGGAAGGAGTCGTAGTCGTCCCGACTGGCCTCTGTGCAAGAACAGGACCTTGGGGACAGCAAGAGGTCACCCATAAGGGTCGTCCTTACCTCGACAACCAAGAATAAATCTGCAAAAAGACGGAAGGCTTATATATTCTCACATTGTATATTTAGCAAGTTTGCTAATGGGCTAGCGAGGGCTTTGAAAATGCCTTTGTTTTTATTTCGTAGGATCTGCAACCTTCCAGTCAAAATGTCTACGGCTAGCTCTGTCATCGTTTCACTGTTTCACTGTCAGCGACAAGGGGACGCTGGTCTCCGCCCCCCGGTTGGCCTTTTGGGGACGCTGCAATCGTCTTACACCATAACTCACACAGGCCTGGCTTCTGGGGGTCCATTCCCAGTTAGCCAGCGAACGCCCCCCTACCGTCCCCCCACCTGGATCCACGTGCTTTGCGGAATTAAAAGGGGCGACCGGGGATCACGGAGACGCGACCAATACAGACACGAGTGGTATATCGAGCCACGCGCTCGCTCGATCCTCAGATAACTTAATGAGAGCAATTACTTCACAGCGATGAGCGATCATTTTCGCTTAGAGAATAGACAAGCAGCCTTTTAAAGGGAAATATAGAGTGTCTTTTATAAGAAATCAATTCATATCCAAAAAAGGCAATATCCTTCATGGTTATCCTTCATTTTTGGTGCTCACTAATAATCCATGTGTCTATACAACGCTTCATCAAACTGACGTCATTTTCGTCAATTTATTTCAGCCGCTGCAAATGACACTACAGCATTATTTTAGCTTCCCTCCCACTTACCTTGAATAAAAAAAGAAACCTTATTGCGAAACAGTGTCCAAAACAGAGGAAGATGCCTGGTGCAGACAGTAGACACCCCCAGGTTGGCAACCTGTAAAAAGCCCCGAGTTCGCCCGCTCGACCGAGCTCAATCGGACCAGGTGTTTCCCGGGTCCCCCGTGCACCAGCGCCTGAGCACAGCTGGAGACGTACCCAGGTGCCAGGCTACCGGTGCACAGGTGAAGGCAGTGAGAAATGAGGCACGGTGACTGTGTTAGCCTCTTTGCGCCTGTGCACGGATTGGACGAGCACTTCAGCGGTAAATCCGTTAGGATATCGTAGAAAGCGCTCGACGGTGGGAAGAATTAACAAACACGGAACAAAGGGTAGAAAACAATAAATAACTTTGACGAAAAGGTCATTCTAAGGACCTTTTTTAGTCCTATTTAGGGGGGGCATTAGCCACTCGAAATAAATGCAGACTAATTAAGTTTAAGTGGTGTGTTCCCTTTCATTTCAATTAAAATCAAACCCTGTGTAGTACAGGCTCCACCCCCCCCCCGTTTCAAAAATCTCTAGCGATGCTCCTGGCAAATAACTCAATTATAAGTTGTTGGTCAGTAAAGCGACTTGCCAGTTTCTGCGTCGCTGCGTTTGGAGTGACTGCTGAATTTCACAGTGTGGAAGAGCACGGGTCAAACAGAGAGAGAGAGCGACGACGGCTTTCCCATGAAGAAGAACGTCTTACACAGGAAGGAAGTTCTTAAGGTGAATAAGGTGGTTAAGATGGCTAAGTGTTGTACAACCTTCAAAACTTGGGGGGGGGGGGGGAAATTATGATCAATATAGCAATTACAACCAGATCGGAACTTTCAAACCCGATCATCCAGAATACCATGATATGGACCACTGACGCGCGAGATCCATTCAGCCAATACACTCTGCCTAATCCTTCCAGGAAAAAATTCTTCTGAGTCAAATAACAGGCATGAAAGTGAACGCAAAGGCTTCCGAACTGAAAGTTTCAGCCGACGCCGGTCAATAAACGGCAGGCCGCGCACGTGCTCGTCTAATTAGTCACAGGCCAGATTAAAGCAAATTACCTGACCTGCTGGAATCTGCATGCAGCGTGAGGTGCAAATGGATCAACAGGCCTGGATGCAGTTGGGTTCTGAATTTACGCTCCGACGAGGTCGGAGGCCTGGCTGTAAGTGATTCTGAAACATTCATCCCCATTTAATCGAAAACGAGGAAAGGAAAAAGACTACAAATCACATTGGGCAGCACAGACAAACAGTCAGCAGAGACCCTAAGTGTATCGCATGCTTGTCACAGCCTGTCCTGGGTCACACTAACCATACATGTCTGTCCCAGAGAATAATACAGTTACAGCCAAACAGAAAACAATGGCAAAGTAATCGGCTTTGTATTAACTACAACAATGGAGATAGAAGGAAATTGTAAAAGACAAGAAATGAATCAAAGAATTCTGGTTAATATCGTATGTAAGTCCCTGAAACACTGAAGAGGAGAAGCAATCGAGAGATGGATGGATGGATGGATGGATGGATGGACGGATGGATTATATGACACATAATAAGTATGCCACTTCCCGAATATCAGTATACTTGGAAAACAACACCAGCCCATGCCTTTATAAGTGCGGTTCACGTCGAACAAGCGATGGGAGATGAACAGACACCAGGAATTAACACACGATTTGATATATTGTGACTGCAAAGTGAGATACTGGAGGAGAGGGAGAGCAGGAGGCAATGGGGACGTTCAGGGGCTGCAGAGCGGCCAGTCAGTCCATTTGTTGTTGGAGGAGGAATGGAGGAATGGAGGAGGGCGTGCGGAAAGACAATGGGGGG